ATACATCAACATTTTGCCTTGTCCTGTAAAACTCCCATTTTAGATATTTGATGTTTTGTTATGACAGCAACAATATGCTGCTGGTAAACAAGTTCTTCATTTTTCAGGAGAGATTACGGAGGAGATTAGATATAAGATATTCCACTTGTGTAAGGAAGAGAAAAGTCAAAGGAAAATATGTTACAAAAACAGGAATTTCAAAAACTGCAGTTCAAAAAATGATTAAAAGCCATAGAGAACATGGGACTCCTAACAACCATGCAAGACCTGGTAGACCACCAACACTGCCCCCATCAGATAAACAGCACTTAAAGCTTTCATCTTTGAGCGAGAGGAGAAAATCACGCTCCATTCTTGCTCTCTGTCCATCCTTCCAGAGAGCTCAACACTATGGGTCTGAAAGGATGTGTAGCTGTCAAGAAGCCCTTACTGAGAAAAAGAAATAGACAAAAAAGAACATTTGCAAATCAACCTAGGCTGCTGGTGTTTTTATAACAATGGACTGACCACCCCAGAGTCCAGACCTCAACGTTTCTTGTATTCTTTGGCCCACGAGGAGCAGAAAATGTGACCAACTTCTAAGACTGAACTTTAGAGGTGTGACAACATCCCTGCAGATTTCTTTGAAACTGAAGCTGTAATAAATGCAAAAGATGACACTGAAGTCATTAATTACTGAAACATTTGATATTATATTTAATCTATGTTCTGTGTATTTAGCAAAAGTAAGTTAATGTTAGATGAGATCTTTGTGCAGCAAGTGCTTTAAACTAGTTGTTGCCAAGTCTATGTCAATATGTCATATCTGATTTTGACCAAAGTTTGCCAAAAATGAATCATGAAAACTGCACTAATGCTGCTGCTGTCCGCACTGGACTGGATATATGGATACATACTTTAAATCATTCTTCCAGGGCTTCATAAATGAGGCCTATTAACTACATCATTCATGTTCATATTGTAGGTGACAGCTTTCCCATGCTAGGGCCAGTTCTTTTCGATCTAATGAGGTCATCCACGGGAAAACCCCATCTTTCGTTATAGCAAAAAAAATAAAGGATTTCAGTTGACAGGGGGATAAATGACATAGAGCAGTAACCAAATATTACCATTAACAATGATTATAGCCTTTTTTGGCTGTTTAAGCTCCCTGATTAGGGTAGGCTGACCAGCTGGAGAGATATTTTTCCTGTATTACATGACTAGTCACTAAGTGCTTATCAGTGTATTTTACAGTCAGATTATTATGGAATCAGTGACATTATTAACACTATAGCTCAGCACAGAAGATCTGAGATATACTTTTTTTCTTTTTGTTTTGTGTGTTTTTTAACTGCAAGTCAAGTGATTCATGTCCTGTTTGTCGCAATTAGACAAAAGGTATAAAAAAGTATTGTTTTGGTTTTAATATCGAATTCAAGGTATCAGATCAGTATCAAAAAATGTCACATTCAGCTCTAATGACGTCTGACTCTCTCTCTCTCTCTCTCACTGTCACACACACACATACATACGCACACACTCCCAGACATAATAAGATTAAAGTGATTGTACTTGATCTCGCTGAACATCAATTATTCATTAATGCTGCTATTATCCACATTATAAAGAATGCCTATTAATAAATACAGCAATAAAGATTTCTGTCAAACTTTGTCTTCTTTTACAAATCGATGACTTATTGTGGCTATCGGAATGTCTCTATGGGCTCCTCCTTCACAGCAACACAGCCTCTATCCCTCCCAGTCCTCATGGCTCTAGCTTATCCCCATTTAACGGGGATCTTGTCACTGTGTGACTACAAAGCTGGGAACTGGCTGACCCAGGCTTTTTTACTGGGCTCCACAGCTGTCATCGGCACAAATGGTCTGAGGGGCACTTCCGCTCCGGCCTGGCCTAGCTTTGATTTTTTTTCCCCAAAGCAGCATCTCTGGAGCATAACTAAAAACAATAGTGACATTATCTACAGAGCTCTGGTTGAATGTCTGGAGCCTAAATAAAATACCATTGAAGATGTTCAAAACATATGAATTTCAAGCAAATGTACAAGATACAAAGAAATCAACAGATACTTACCCAAACAACTCTATATTTATATACTGAGCTGTTTATGTAAGCCTCCTCTTTAGCATTTGCCTCTGCTTTGTTGTTTTCCTATGCCAGATCTTCCCTGGGTGGCGAGAATAGCACAGAACTATTGAAGACTGAGCAGCAGACACATTAATTGAATATTGATTGCAGTGCTGTGGGTCCCTGCTGTTCCTGACACACACATTGACAAATGCTTTGTCTCTGCTCTTTTTGTGCTGTTTGCAAAATGCTGTTGTGGAAAATCAGGAGCATGTTCGGAGTCATTTAGTTGAAAATATAACAAAGTTGTATTGTATCTGAACAATATGTGAGGCAGTCCAGTATCTTAGTCCTACTGAACACTAATGGAAGTGTTATTGCTGCTGAAATCAGTAATGAATTGAGAACCATCTGCTCTGCAAAGGCCAAACCGATTGCTCTGAATGTTGACTGTGTGCAAAACTGCACTATATCTGCTTGAATTGTTTGCTCCCTCACAGAAAGGCACAAGCATTTCACATGTGATCATAAGTGAAGTGGTTAAAAAACACACATTCACAAGTAAATATGTACTTCAGTTTAAGGAACACATATAGAGAGTTGAGTAAGGTCTTGTTATGTTCAGTAAAGCCCAAATTAGACGCTTGTAAAAGGCTTGTTCACTGTGCATTAAGCTTTATTCATTATGACCTATTTTAGTACAGAATTGTACATCTGTTATTTGAAAATCACAAATAATTGCAAAGTTATAATAATGCACAAGAAATACTTTGTTACAGCATCGTTATCTTTTATTTGTCATTTTATTATTTCAACAAAAATCAAACCACAACATTTTATGTCCATTTTACCATCTTGGCCGTAAATATGTCTCAGTATAGGCTAAAAAAATACCATAAATAAAAAAAGCGCAGACTTACTTTGCCCTGCCTTAAGCTTTAGCTCAGCTATAGCTGCTTTTCTCTTATCTCCGGCAGGAAACTTTTCCTTAAAAGTAGAATAGTTTCTTGTAAAATGTCTCTCAACATTTGACTTTTTAAGAGGCTGAAGATTCTCATTCGCAAGCTTCATGTTCTAATTTTCCCGTTCCACCGTAAATGGTGCCTGAGGCGCCACAACACAACTGCAAAGGTAGGTAGTGTCAAGTGACTTTTGAAGTTGACTGTATTTGACCTAATAAGGGTGTTATAAGTCACTAATGCTTGAATATGTGCTCCAAATTATAAAGTAAAGTTTCAGTCATCACTAGGAGGCCAAAAAGCACTAAACAAGTTTTTAATAAGTCAATTTCCGTCCCATATTTTCAAGTAAAGATCACTTCATGGCTTTTTGGTAACCAAAAACATAGATGCTGAGAATATTTTAATTAATTAATAAATTAATTAATTTTCAACCTATTTTAACACCAAAATGCAGATAAATTGAACTCTTACATGGAATAGTTTTTGCAATCAAAATTTTATCAACAGGCATTGTATTTGTGATTCAAATGGACTTGTTTAACCTTTAATAAGTGATGACTAAAAGTCTTCTTTGTAATATGGAACTCATCTTGAGGTCTTAGTTGACACTACCTAGAGGAATAAAATGTTGACGTTCTGCATGAATCTAGTTGACCAACAATTTGCATAACAAGGTCCTATCAAAGTGTTTATTGTGCATTATTACTAATAACTAATAATAGCAATTTTCACATAACAGACCTTCAGTGTTGTACTAAAACAGGTTATAATGAATAAAGCTTAATGCACAGTGAATAAACCATTTACAGTTTAATATTTCCTTTACTGAACAAAGAATGAGACCTTAATAAACCTTCATATTTGTTCCTTAAAATAAAGTGTTACCAATACATGTTATATACTGTAAATAATGTTGTGAGAAAATGTCTATCAAGTGAAAAGTGCACATGTGGAAAAATAACATGTAAAGTTCATGTGATTATTCTGTAAAGGATGGCACAGGGCCCAACCAAAACATCAATTGGCTGAAAATTTGATAGGAATTTTGAAATTTGAATATTAGATAGGAAAACCACATTCAGCACCCAATTCAAACAAACATGTAAATTCAAGTTCAGCATCATGAGACTGTATCTTATTTAGCTGTCTTGACATGAAGGTTTGTGGTTAAGTTATAAGGTTATTTGGCTTCAGTATCAATATCAAGATGTTTGACAGTTCACGTCAGTTAGTAAGGCACTGTTTAAATAAAACTATTGGAATGTGTTTCATTTTAGACTGAATAAAATTATATTGGTCACTATTATCAGTCACCAAAAGATTGGTGACAAAATTTTCATTTAGTTTAAAACCTAGTTTAGTATGAGAATAAAAACTGATAATGACTTTGAAATAAGAATTGTATATTAATCCTAACATCAGATTCCATTTTTCTATGCTGTAATTAATGATTATTGTAATAATAACATAATATAATCTAATATAATTACAATGCAATTATATGGTAACATAAGTAAATATATTTATAAATCTATAAAGCATATATATATTTGTCAGAACTTGACTTTACAATACTTACTATGTGTTTCCCTTATTAGACATTTAAATGTCTAAATAAACTCTGACTATGTACCTAATTTGAAGTGCTTTAATCTGAAGTGCTTTAATCTCTTTCCTGTAAAGCCTTAGCTGTCAGCAATGCTATAAATTACAGCCACTGCAGTAACTCCAATATGCATTAAAACACTTTGTTTTTTTTAAGGGGGGGGGGTGGATTGGGTCAGCTGATACAAACAGAATTCATACAACAGTAAATTACATTCACTCTTTGTTAAACAGTTATATAGCTTGCTTGGTTCTCTTTCACTGAATGTCTGTTTGAGCACACTGTGTACTGTAAACATTGGTTGCCTTGGCCATCGTGTTCTGCTGCCCTGAATCATAAGAACACATGGCTGTTCATCAGCTCTTATCTGTCCTATTGATTTTTATGCTTTAAAGCTGAGCGAAATGACATGTTCTCATGCCAGCTACACCTTTGCAGTAAACACTATGCACTGCTTCTGAAATTCAAACAAATTAAAAAAAAAAATAATGAAAAAATAATAAGAGGTGCCTCAAGTATCAATCTCTTTTACAGAGAATGCGTGGAGTGAGGAAATCTGGCTTCTGTGATTTAGGTCAACTCTAGCAGAGTCACCCCAAGGTAAGGAGCAGCTGGCTTTAAGAGTGTCTTTCCTTGAATGAAGACTGGACTTCTGGATGTGCTGAGTAGTTTGTGTTTGTGAAATTAGAAGTATCAGTGTTTAAGAGCAGGAAATATGCAGTGAGCCAGGGCTATGGCCCATTTAAGGAAATCTCCAAAAGGGTCAACAGCATAGTCGCTTAATGTGTGTGTGTTCTGCCTTTGTAGGAAATGTCAGGAGCAGCACAGCTGTTCTGACTTTGTGAAGTGCTTTTTGTTTCGTTGTTTAAAACTGAAAGGGTAAAACAAGTTCTTTACTGAGGTTAAAGTTTGGGTAAAGTTTGGGTGAGGTTAGTCAAGCTCAGAAAATTGTAATATTTCTATCAGCTATCAGCAAAATATGTATTATAAACAAAACATATAATTTAATTGTAATTGTAGGTGTGCATATATATATATATATCTGGAGGCTAGCGTAACACCTTAAACTCTTTGTCATGTTGTTTATCCAAACCATTCTCAGATAGTGTGTGAAGTGTGGCATTAGAGCGTATTATCGTGCTGAAAGAGGCCATCTGGAAATACCATTGCCAGTAAGCGGTGTACCTGTTCCACAATGATGTTTAGGTAGGTGGCATGTGTCAAATTGACATCCATGTGAATTTCCAGACCAAGAATTTCCCAGCAGAACACTGCCCAGTGCATCACACTCCTTCCACCAGTGTCTCCCAACAGTGTATCCTGGTGCCATCAATCCCCCAGATAACGCCACGGACGTACACGCCCGTCCATGTGGTGTAAATGAAAGCGGAACAGTGGGTCGGTGGGTACTCGCCATTGCTGACCAGGAGCACCTCACAAGCCTTACTGTTCTGGAGATGCACCAACAATCTAGCCATGACGATCTAGCCATAAGTTGCTCAGGTCTTCACGCTTGCCAATTACCACATCCAACATGTGAACTACATGGATTGACTGTTCGCTTATGTCTAATATTTGTCAGACCTTGACATGTGCTGTTATTATGAGATAATCAACGTTATTCACTTATCTGTGAGTGCTCATATCTTAGTTTATCAGTGTGTGTGTGTACATGTATATACCAATGTGCATATTGGAGTATATCATATTACCTTATTATACAGTTATAGTTATATATGGAACTGCTTAGATGTACTTTTTAATGTAATTTGAACATACCACCTGCTGTCAAAACTTCTGTACAAACTGGCCAATAGAAATGACATTGACTTGACATATAAGACATATGTGTGTGTGTGTGTGTGTGTGTGGCTGAAACAGCAGGGGGTCAGATTCTTCTCTCACTGCTTTACTGCCCACTACAACAGAGACGCCTGCATGGCTGCACACACCCCACAAAAAGACATCTGTCTGCTGCTCCCAAAATGAAAGATCACACTGCAGACGGCCCCAGAACACTACTGTGCGTGCTACTGCTTTACTAAGCTTAGCTTAAATAGTGTAAAAGTGGTGTGTTTTTGTTGGTGTAGGGGTTTAATCTGCTTGCCCAGCTGTTTCCTATAGGAAAAAAAAAACGAAAAAAGAAAAGAATTAGGAAACTCCATGCTCTCAGTTTCACTGTGACAGGCAAGTGTGTGTGTGTGTGTGTGTGTGTGTGTGTGTGTGTGTGTGTGTGTGTGTGTGTGTGTAACCATTATTTTTTTCCACGTCATTTTGGGCCATTTCTTTTCGTCCATTCTTCAAGAAATTTACAACAGGCATTTTCAAATTATGTCCAAAACTGAAAAACGGCAAAAATGGAGATAAGAGGTTTTTTTCCGACAGCAGTGATATATATGTATACATACAGATATACATATATATATATATATATATATATGTATATCTGTATATATATATACACACACAAACACACACACACATATGCACGTGTATCTCTCTCTCTCTCTCTCTCTCTCTACATATATATATATATATATATATATATATGCAACAGTCGGATATATACATGGTAATAATGGTACAAAACCCGATGCCCTTTTTTTTCTCTGAGATGACAGCTTTTCCATTACTGGCATGGCATGGTGTACAGAGTGTTCTTACGCTGGGCAGGAGCAGGAACCCAAAAGGGAAATGAATGGTACTCCAGATGCCAGTGCTTCAGCCTGACTCCTGCTGTACAGTACATTGAACAATGGGGCCTGTCTGTGCCATACTCTCCTAAAGAATACACGGATACCATTAACAAGACCAAAGAGGATGGCTAATGCTTTCATTAGGATGTAACACATGCAGAGGCAGCACTGCTTATGCAACACATGATTTTTAGACAAACACACCACACCTCCATGAAGAAATCCAGTATTTCATTTAGCTACGACTTGCATCAGGTTTTATCACACCCTCTGTTCTGGATCACACAGAACATTATGCAACACCTTCTAGTTTCCTTAGGAAGGCTGCCATTGATGTTGAGAATGTATTCTGTTCTTACACTTGCTTCTGTTCTGATCTTCTTTGGTAGACAAATGCAAAACATAAACACGCAATACTGTTACGTCACTAGAAAGTGTGATGATGACACCGTGGTACTTTTTGCATAGGAACTAAAAGCAGGTGAAATTTACTTGATGATTTCTAGTCTTCAGCTTGTTGTTTATGGAAGGAAAAGCCATAAAACACAGTAGACGTAGTGCCACTTGAAAAACACATTGTTCTCATCCTTTGAAATTTGCAAAACTAAATGTTCCAACTTCTTACAGTGTTGTCAGAGAGCTTTTGTGGGAGGCATTTACTGAACCGCACCTTGTGGACTTGGACAGGCTGGCCAAAAGAACTGAAGCACACACAGATATGAGTCATTCTATTGAATTGAAGTCAGAGTTAAAAACACATTTTGGACTTCTAACTAGTATGGACCTTAGACAAAAATACTTTCCTTGCTTTAAATTGCTTTAAATGTTAATTATGCATCAATAGAAGTGATTAAATATTCAATTCGTCACCACTAATCAAATAATAACACCACTGAAACATTAACAAATATTTTGTTGTGACAATTTTATCTAATTTTGAGCAGAACTCAAAAACATTAGCCAGTATATAACAAGCGAACACAGCTTTGAACAGTTCACTGAAAAAAATGCTTTACTTGATTCACATTTGTAAAGGGTTTCATCAACACACATTCCTTCATTTGTTTCTTTCAGTTTACTCATTTTTGGCATGAGTTGAGTTGATGTAATTTATTTTATTCATGTGAAACCGATGTCTATAGTATTGTGCTATGTTTTGGTAGTGACAATTCCTAATGTTACACACTGATTTTCAGACTTTGGGACACATTTACGTCAAAACAATGTGATCTAACCCCATGAGGTACAGGGATACAGTCTCACTTCCTGCTCTAAAATGCAGGGGTGTGGCTAAAACAAGGCTCTGCATATGGACTAAAATTCTGTTTTTCATTAGTGACATTAAAATGTGTGATAGCATTTTTTTTTATGAGGTTTTGTTATATAAATGAAACTCATGACAAATCTAAGTCTCTCAACTTCACTTCTTTCAAGAAATCAATCTTTTTAAAAACAATATTGAAAATAAAATACAAAAAAACAAAGTACCTTATAAACGATAATTTTTGTAGATATCTAACTTATTACTACCTAAATCAATGCCTTGGGTTTAAACAGATCATAACAATAAATATCTAAGGCTGAAAACTTAATCATATTTTCAAGTATTTTTTTTCTTTAATGTGGGACTGTAGTTTAAACTAATTCTGTAAAATGGTTCATATATCATTGTTGTCACAACAAAACCTTGTATCTCTAAAATGGTAACTTTACAGGAGAAGCTAAAATGTTAACTTTTAATGGACGTTAATGGAACAACAGTTTTTCCTTTCCTGTTTTTTGGTCGATCTATCATGAAATCTTACTACATTTTAAGGGACAGCTGAAATGTTCTAATTCTGAAAAAAATGGAGATATGAGGTTTTGTTCCGACAGTGATGATATGTAATGAAAGGACTATATGAAACGAACTGTACATGAATCTGTAAACAAATGCATTGGGATTAGCTAGGGGTCCTTTTGGCCAGTACCTATTGGACACACAGATGCATGTGCTTGTTTTAAGCTGTAAATTAGATATCTCTGCAAGTAAACAAGTGCATTGGGTTTAAAAGTAAACAATTAAACAAGTGCATTGGGATTAGCTGGGGGTCCTTTTGGCCAGTACCTATTGGACACACTGGAGGGTGTGCTAGTTTGTATATTGAGGTCATGTTGAACAACTTATTGAGATGGACTGAAACTAACAAAGACTCTACAAAGTAAGCAAAGCAAGCTGAGCAAAAAGATCATTATTGCGAATGATATATAGTGAAAACACTGTTGCCTACAAGGTGTCAGCTAACACTTAAGAGATTTTTTTGTCAGTTAGTGGGAAAGTTATGCTGTAAAGATGTGAAATGACTATGTTCAGTTGCTTTTAAGTGAATATTGTATGCCAGAGGATGGAGAGTCTAAGTGATTAATCTTAGAAGTGGCAGCTGCCTCTGAGGAACAACTACTAATTAAAGACCAGTCATGTTTTATGGCTGCACATTATAGACAAAGTACCATGGCTGTGATTATGTTGCTACATTTTAAGGTTGAGATACACCTTTCAACACATTAAAAACTCATTCATAGGCCTGTCACAAACGTAATATTATCTTATGATTAACTTTCATTGCAATAATTGTGATTAAAAATTTAAGTGGTTTTACGTCATTGAAGTATAAGCATAAGTAGTCAGATTGGCTGATTAGCTATCTTGTTTTCTAGTTGTCAATATTAAGCTCCCAACTAACAAAAGATACAAACAAATAGAGCTCAAATAAACAAACATTACTCACTGCTACCCTTATAGGAATGATAACATTAGCTCTTTTTGTTTTCTTTCAACCCAGTGGATGAAAACATGCCTAGTTCACATTCTGTCTGATGTGACAAACGTATAGAAGTACAGTGTTTCTGTTCACTTTCACACAGGAGTCAGAGTTTTACATGGTGATACTTCACACTTTCCCACAATGGCAAAAACAGCAGTCTTCTGTCGCAGCAGGTGTTGAATACAATGCAGCCTGAGTCAGATGAGCAGGTGAAGCTTCTTGACGCAGGTGAGCACTTCTTTTTGTCCCTTGTGCTAGCCATTTACAGACTATTGAGTGCTCCTCTCCCACAGCTTCCCCTGCTTACGCAACACATATCTCTGAAAGACTTTGCTAAAGCTTTCCACTCAGCAGGAGGCCACTGTGAGCTCTCTGAGATACAAGAGTCATAGCTTTTGAAAATAACTATTGTCCACCTGCACAACAATAATGTGAATGACGTCATTTGTTTCCTGTCATTCCACTCTGGGGAATTAGAAAAACGAACATGCTGAGCTGAATTTGAAATTATGTACAATAATACAGTACAATATGTACAATGCTATTTATCTAATTGTACATATAATTATGTATATCACTGCTGTCAGAACAAAACCTCTCATCTCCAAAATGGTAACACATGCTTTACTTTTAATGTAAGTCAATGGAACCAGACCTTTTTCCAAGTCATTTTGGGCTGTTTCTTTTGGTCCCTTCATCATGAAATTCACAGACAATGTAAAGTGCAACAGGCATTTTCAAATGATGTTAAAAACTGAGAAACGACAAAAATGGAGACATCTGGTTTTGTTCCAACAGCAGCGATATGTACAATACTAATTAGATAAATACTACTATCTAGCCTCAACAGCTAAATATCATATAAGATGTTCAGCCTTTGCCCTTATTTATTTAAAACTTATTTTCAGTTTTTCAGATAATCCGCAGGGATATTTTTCCACACCGTCAAAGTTCAGTCATAGATTCAGTCTTGCATTTTCTGCTTCTCATGATCCAAGTAATCCCTCTGACTTTAGACTCATCTGTCCATAAAACCTTACTCCACACCTCAGATGTCTAATTTTGGTGTTCTAGTGCAACATTTTCCTCTTTATTTGTCTGTCTCCTTTTCTGAGTTACAACTTCTTGTTAGCTACAAATCCTTTCAGACTCATAGTGCTGAGTTGTCTTCTCACAGTGGAAGGATGGACACAAACACCTGTGTTTTTTTTTTTTTTAGATCTGAAGTAAGAGTAGAGCTTGATTTTCTCCTCTCTCTCAAAGATGAAAGCTCTAAGTACTGTTTATCTGATGGTGATATATTTGGTGGTCTGCCAGGTCTTGCACAGTTTTTAATAGTCCAATTTTGTCTGTATCTTTTTATCACTTTTTTGAACTTCACTTTTGGGAACTCCTGTTTTTCCAATTATTTTCTTTTGACTTTTCTTCTTTCTTATCAAAGTAGACTATTTTATATCTAATCTCCTCAGAAATCTCTCCTTAGCCATTGTAAATGCGTACGAGAAGGAAAGGTGTGTTTAATAGTTGGTTGCCTGAATGTTAGTGTCTCTTTGAAGGGGAACACAATGCCAGTAACTCCTTTGGGAACAGCTTTTGTTATGAGGACACAGCTGTAACTGGTTGGTTTTAAGATTGGGAGAGTTAAAGTGGCAGTAGCGTGAAGAACAATAAAAAGTGGACAAATGAATACTGATAGATTTGATATAATACTTATGATATAATACATAGTAACGTAAGAAATGATCAGGTGGTCTCTGAATGTTGATCAGTATTGTAAGGTAAGGTAAATAAACATAATATGATACATTTGTAATTTGTAATAATAACACTGTAACCTTTGGTAGAAACACTGTACATTTTGTTGGCATGAATAATCTTACATATCACACTGTTTTGTAATGAACACAAACACATGCTCATGTACTTCCTCCAGGGATTGTTCTCAATTTCATACCAGACGACACAAACACATACAGATATCCTCTGGCTTTCTGTCTCCTATGACTCATGAGCACACATACATATACACCCTTGCGCCACCCTCTTTTGCCAGACGCAGCGTGACAGCCCTTAGCATGCCTAATTAGTGACTGACAGATGTGGGTCAATGCAGTTGGTTGAGGACAAGCTCAAGGCTGTTCTGAGCTACAGCCACTAGAATACAACTTCCCTTTATTACACTGCAACATTTACAAAACCGCTGATTTCATAGATTACAGCATCCAATAAAGCACTGATGATGATGAAACACAGCATGCAGATAGAAGTGGCAAGTTTGTTTCCTGAAATTCCCAGATTTATCACATCCTAAGGCTTATTTTTCAGTAATTACATGGAAAACAATGCAAACTGACTGAGTTATTCTTAAAAGACTGAGGAATAGATGTAGCTTTTAAGGGGTTAATTTGTTAAAAAATGACACGTTTGTGGAGAGTCTGAGAAGACACCTTGTAAATAGTACTGAATTATTTACAAAGTGCATCATACGTCAGTTGTTATTCTTTCAAACCTCTTTGTCCAAAATTTAGGGGCATACCTAGGAGTTTTACAATGGGATGGCCAGATAAGACCCAGAGATTGTACTGGTGTGGCATACTGCTAAGGAAAAAAACTAAATAAAATAGTGTTACCATATTAAAATGACTTAAAAGGTGACCCATTTTTCTCTGCACGTAACTAAATCTGCCCATCATTTTCCACATGAATAAAATAGTACATTAACGCAATTATTGCCATAAGTTAACTGAAAGACATTCATGAGGAAATTATGTTTTTGAATCAAGTAAATTTAATGTGTACCTTAATACAGTGCACAACATTAACTTTAAGATAAACAGTTCACATGGACAAGCCACAGAAGTTACTAACCCCTTAAATGGCCATGGCCCAAAGTTTTATTACATGTTTTTATAACATAAGAATAGCCCAGCCAGTTTGTACTAAAGTCCCTGTAGTTACTGAATAATATGCCTTAGTATGTAATAAGCCTGAGATTTTAAGGGGTTAATGTACGTTGCATTCCCTACAGGTTATACAGTCCAATGATTAAAGATAGCCAGACAGCACTGTATAAGGAAACCTATAACACATGCATGTGTTGAACTGTAAAAAGAAGTTAGCATGATAAACAATTATAGCTGACTAATTTTTGATTGTGAACTCATCCTACTATTGAATAGCCTACTTCATAGTGTAGCTCATGGAGCAGCACTGTTGAAGGGACATAGCACACATTTACTCTTGTTTGCTGAGTGAATTAGCTTATCACAGGAAGAGCGCTAATTATTAAATGCAGCATCATTAGACTCTCATTACTCATTGCTAACTAGCCTGATGGCAGGTTTTCACAATAAAGCCTAATTGATGCTTTATTAATGATGGCTGACTGATGATGGCTGTCTCACTTTCACTAACTGGGGTGACCAGAAGGGTGGCCATGCTAATGCCAGCATGGCACTGGCTACCCCTGTCTCTGCCGAAACAGTTTGGCACAGTAGTAGGGGGAAGTTCACAAAAGTGTAACATAAAATTTATTGCCTTCTTGACACACATTATCCATTTGATTAATGTTATATGTCAGCGTGGGGTAACTTTTAATCTGTTTAAAAAAAAAAATAAAGGTCTGCCTGAGTAAATGCATTATATAAATATTTTTAAGAGATATTCAAAATATGTTAATTTTAGCAGATATGATAATCAGCTATATTTTGATAGATGGTTTTAAAAGCCAGTGATAAATAATGCTAGCTAGCAAACATGAAGTAAATACAGAGTTGTGTCCTGATGAGGGTGAGGTTAGTTGGCACATTGATTTTGGGGTTGGTCAGCTTGCCTGTGTAGGGCTATTTTCACAACAAGAATGCAGTACTGTTCTTTACAATTTAAATTTATAAAATTTGTACCAAGTTGTTGTTGCTTAGCTCTAGGCCATTTGATGATGAGTGACATGCAAATAGAAGACCTCTTCTTTTACTCGAGTTATATATTATTCGGCTTTCATTTGCTGCTAGTTGGTTTATTCTGATATATAGTATGCCTGGAATATACAGCAGAGAGCGAAAACTGTGCCAACCAACACCACTCTCCCCTACACTGAATGTCATACATGTACACACTCATGCAGATAAACGCCTTTAATGTGTAAAAATACTTGGCAAAATAAAACTTGCCTCTATTTGACGGTCTGAATAAAGAGAAGCCTAATGTACCCCCATCACTATTACTGACAAGCAGTGAAGCTCATGCTGTTTTGACAGTACACTATTTCCTCTGACACAGAAAGCCCTGCAACTTCAGGTTAGCCTTCTACTTTTCCCCATTCCTTTCCTATGTGAAAGAAGTTGAGCTGTATAAAATGAGAAAAGTTTGATGAATTAGACAGACTCTTGGCAAAAAGAGACATTGTAATCACTTTAAACCACTGAACAAAAAAGTGGAGAAGTGGCCCCAAAAGCTCACTGGGTGTTTTGTAATGAGCTTTTTTGTATTCTAGGGAAGCAGTGGCTGAGATGTGAATGGATCTGAATGGGTGCGTGACAAATAAGCCGTGAAGCATGGGAGCAAGCTCATCCATGAGTAATGGGCAAATGTAGGCCAAGCCTGCACCAGCTGAGATGGACTCTCTGCTGCGCCTGGGGAGCATCCGCACCCGGTTTAACCTCTGCTTCAGAATCACAGCATTTCAAACATATTTGTGATTATGGGGGTTTTAACACTTTGCATATAAACAAATCTACAGTTTTAACAAACTGTGAATGTTTTTGGTTCCATGAAGAATGGTCCTACAGTTAGCCATGCTGGTTATAGACCTATAGGCCTGTGTGACTGACCACACTAAGGTGTTTTTTATTACAGAAGATTCTCACTGCTCATCCATTCTTCTGATTCTCCTCAAATAGCACAGCTGTAAGGACAATGACTGAGAAAGACCGCAGTTTTGTGCGTTTTGAGCCTGGATATGTTCTCTTTTCATTAACCTCAATGCAAATAAAATGACACATTTGAAACTGAGCATTCTCTCCCTCCTCAGAATGAGGGCTAATTCCATTGTGTTGGTGCATGCAATACTTTAGGCTAGTAGCGAGACTAGTGTCTTACTAATAGACTGGCAAAAATGCAGATGCATGTTTTCGGTGAATTTAAACAATGCCAGAAACTGTTCCAAGCTGAGTGACTCCACTCAGTAACACCGAGCAGACGCACAATTCAGCAGATGCCTGGCATTCTTTTCAAACCCTATTCTCGTAAGAAGTGATGCTTTAAAACAAGTCAGCAATTAACCATTAACAAAGACTTGGATTGGCTAGATTATTTTTTTTTTTGTTATTATTTTAAAAATGACATTGCTGATCCCTCTAGACAAGTAATGCTGGAGCTTATTCTGGAAGTTAAATGTGACACATAAGAAAACGTTAAAAAAAATGATTTATAGCAGCGAATTAATCACAGTAACTTCTGTTTCAGTACTACAGAGTTTTTGGGCTTTTCCCAAGATCAGATAAAGCTTATGCCACCTTCACTCAGACAGAAGGCCATTAAAGAACATTGGGAAGGTTTTAGCCATGGAAACACGCGGTTCAGTCATGCGTTTGCTGGCTTATGTAAGTTTGAATCAGCAGTGCTGTGCCTGGGCTCTTAGTCTGAGACAGGGAGGTTTGATTTCTCCACTGTTGAGTTGCCATGTATAGATCTGTGGAATGTTGAGCTCTCTATAAGTCAATGCCATAAACCTGTCTTTACTAGCTGATTGTCCTTAACAGCGTAGCAGCAACTGCACCACATAGGTTCTTGTCTATGTAGCAAAGGTTTTTTCCTCTGAAGATTCAACTAAAAGTCTTTCTGCTGTGAAATAAGAATAGTGAAGAAAGAGGTCGGTGCAGACCAGGTCGTAAACTCAAACACTGGCTTTTCACACAAACACTGACGAGGTAATGTTTACAGAACATGTTATACTTCTTTCACAAACTGTGAGCAGGGTAAGGGAACATTGTCCATTCATACTGTCACTTCTACTGTTTTCAGTAAACCATAACCACTTAGGTTTTATACCCATACATGGATAAAAGGTGCACAATTGCCAAAATTAAAGGGGAATTCCACTGTTTTTTCAAAATGTCTGAACTATTAAAACATTAATCGTCAATCATTAAAAGTCATTAAGAGTAGTTTGATTGTTAATATGCTGTGGAATGTGCTCTTGAGAAACTATTGCTCATAGTGACGGTGATGGGAAACAGAAATGTTTAATACTTACAAAAAAACATGAAGTTGACTGATCGTTTTTTTTATTGCCACACATGTCTGTGGTTATTGTTTCCATCACATCAGCATATAACTCAACTCTGCTGACAGCACTATACACAACTGACAACACATACATGCAATACATGTTTACATTCAAAACTCACTTCCAAAAAAGTTGGGGTAGTATGTGAAATGCTAATAAAAACAGAAGGCAGTGTTTAGTAAATTCTGTTAACTTATTTTTAATTGGAAAATCAACAGAACATGTAATTTGACTGATGGCATTCAAACTTCTGCATCCAACTTTGCACATTTTCAAAACAAATAGGCCCATTAGAGGCTCATATTCTAATGCACACAGACACATTTACAAACAAAAGCTAACTTCTGTGAGATTGCTGACAGGCACACCACCGTCTCCCAACCTGAAACACATTATAAATAGCCATTCATCCAGAAAAATCCTGGCTTTATACGCTAGGATGTCATTCTACACCGGGCTGTAACGGAACTGTTCTATTTAAAGTGCTGTGAACACTTCACCCAAAAAATGTACCAAGGCTTTAGTGTATCTTATTCTTCCTCTCATCCTCTTTCTCAACAGATAGACAGTACACACCCACACATAAACGTGACTAAAAGAGTACACAGTGGTGGTACTGCTCGGTTCACGCTGGCTCTGAAAACAAGCAGGCCTGAAGCCCTTCTCCTGTGACTCATTCATTAGGCTGATGACCTCAGTGTGAGGACTTGGCTGGGGGAAGTGTTTATCCACAGCAGCCTGACAGAGCAGAGCAGAGAGGAGCGGAGAGGAGCAGACCACTGCCCTGAACCACCACCCACCGCTGCGTGGAGGCAGGGCCTGAGCTGAAGAGACCCTTCAGAATTTCCAACTCGCACTCAGTGCTGTCTGAAACATGTTGCAATCGCCTCTGAATCGTGCACTTTTATCAGCGCTGGTGATGTGTAAGCATGACTAATAGGATATTCTAGCTTGATCTGGTTTGAACTGACACTGGTTTGAAAGTTTATTGTTTTGTAGAGTGAGATAAACCGCAGTTTGTGTCAGAGTTCTCTCTCTGGAGCTCTGGGTGTTTGTGCTGTACTGTCCTCTCAAGTTTTCACCATAAAAGACAGATCAACCTCCAATTTTAAGGAACGTGCCTGAGAAAGCAAGAGAAATCATTACCAAATAAGCTCCCCCTGATTCATCACTTTCATGGTACATTTCTATTCACAGTGGAGATGGAAGGAAATGGTTACTTATTGCAGAAAATGACCACAGCTGACCTGTGAAGTCATGGTTACTCTGTGTAATCTGTTGCTACCATCTCCGCCCTAGCCTTGATACATATGTATCCTCTATTGCACGCGTGAGGCACTGGGCCCTCTGATTCAGCACAGTTTGCTGAATTCCCTGCCATGACACAACAACTAAACCTGGGAATTAACTGATGAATCGGGCGTGTTTGAACAGGAAAATCACCAATCAATACAGCCCCCCAGGACCAGAGTTCCCCACCCTTGGCTTTTTGTATAGATTCCTTCTCTGTTTTCCCATGAAGATTTACCCGACAACCACCGCAGAATTTTGTTTTCTTCTTAACTGTCAGCTTGGAAGGGTTTAGGCTTCTCGCATAATTAAAATGAAATCAAATGCAAACTCAAAAAAGAGGTTTTCGGCCTGCTGCTATGTTAACCCCTTAAAATCCCTGGCTTATTACATACTAAGGCTTATTATTCAGTAACAGGGACTTCAGTGCAAACTGGCTGAACTATTCTTAAGTTGTAGAAGTGTGTAACAAAACTTTGGGCCTGCTGGTGGGCCCTGACCATTTAAGGGGTTAAGAAAGAAAGGCCCTTTTCATCATCACACTGACAGTCATATGCTTCACCCCCTAAATATCCAGGCATATTATTCAAAAACAATGCAAACTGCCTTTAGAGTTATTCTTACATTATAGGAGTGAGAGCCTCAGACCTGCTGAACTGTCCTGGGAAATAAAGGGGTTTAAGTTCTCAGTCAAGTCTTTTGGCCTGTAGTCAAAACCACCTTTGTTGAGTCCAAGATAACTTGATGACAAGTCGAGATTGTGACAAGACAGAGTCTAAAGGAGGCTGAAACCAAATGAGAGCAAGACTAAGTCAAGATCGAGACCCAAAGAAATGAAACTTCTTAGAGGTCAAGTTTTAAGTAGCCTTAAACACCTCCTGGTCTAAATTTCTAGTTTTTTTGTTTGTTTGTTTTTTCAAATTGTTCGGATAAATCATTTTAAAGTGAGCTATAACCCTATAGATTCACTTTGAACAACAGAAATAGCGCTTAGAATTCTAAAGTCATCCGTTTTAATTTTGCTATACTGTTTAAACGACATTATATTGTTACATACTTAATTACACAGATTACATGGAATTTCTATTCAGTGTTGTCAGATTTGTGTGTGCACTTCTGACATTTTTTCCATTTGTTTCAATGCCAAGACACAAACATGGTAAAAAATTAAATTAGGTTTTTTTTTTCCCGCAACAAACAGAACACATTGTTCACATTGAAATCATAACATCTTCTCTTTTATTGACCAGCACAAATGTGGCTCCAACAGTACATTTCTAGGTTTAGTCATATGTGGGGAAGTTTTCCTTCATTGCTCATTCAATGCTAAATCATTGCTAACAAATGGAGTGGTTTTGAGCTGCATGAGTGGGAGACCAAGAGAAGAGTACAATAACTATTCAGTCCAAGTCAAGAACAAAACAAAAGGAAGAAACATTCCAAGTCCAAGAGTCGAGTACTACAGCACTACATATCAATATGCCAGCAGCTCAGACGAGAAGGGGGACACGATCACAAAACAAAACATCTATGGAACAAACTTCCTGACTGTGGACTGTGTTGACTGTGTTGAATAAGTGATTTTATTGTGCAAGTGTTATAACAGTCTTGCTAGATAAACAAGAGGAGGTTTTGCATAAAGGTATGGCTGAAAGAGATAAACACTATATCAGTCTGACTTTGTCCTTCATGTTTTTAAATGTGTCCAGACAACTGTGACCATTTATTCTGAATTCATACAGAATGTAAAAGTCTTCTAAAAATGCCCACTATCCTAAATCATAACCCACATATGGTGATTAGGGAAAATAAACCTAATCACCACATGTGTGATATGTATCAAGTGGTTCATACTTCCTTTATGGCCCAGCTGACTATGATCTGATGATTTTATTTTAGGTTCAGTTTTTGAGTGCTTCCTGCAGTGATGAACGAAGCTGCGCTTTGTTGGCGAAGTTGCTGTTTGTGAACTGTTAAGTTGCTCATATCCTGTCATTGTGTGAAATGGGCATTTTCCCCTTTGGAAAAATACAAGCGACCTCTCCTTTTATACTGTTGGCTACAATGAGTAACACTTTATTCAAGAGCTACCAACATAGTGACTTCACAACACATGCAGAAGCACTGGATAATGTATTTTAAAACAATTTATGAACAGCTTATATCAGTAATGACAAGATGACCAGAGATTAGATGTTTTATAAAACAAACAGCACTATATTGATATAAGGGAATATATGTATACCCATGTTATTGGTCAACTATGTTATGTAATAATGCTTTTCTTATAGCATTACAGAAGGTATATCATGACACCCCTCAGTTATGAAGAAGTAAATGTAATGAAACAAAATGTAATGAAATTACAGAGGCCTACTTTAGAGCACTTACACTGTAAAAAAAAATAATAAGTTAGTTGCCTGGCTAACATTATGCTCTGTCTGACTTATTATTTCTCGTTTCGCATTGCTGTGTGTCTGCACTCTGTGTGATGTGCTGCTGTTGGGTGTTGCACCATGGGGAACATATCATTCTTATGTATACTGGTTATACTGAAGAATGACAATAAAGACCACTCGACTTGAATTTCATTTAAATCATATTGAATCAAATTAAAGGCAGCATGGTTACTCTAAGTTAAAGCTAAGCTTTTTTTTAACAGTGCATGCTTTTTTAACTGAAATTTGAAATTTTTATTTCTTCCATCACTGTGCTGGAAATATCTCACTTGGACAGTTGACATACAGCGGACCCAAAAGAGTCCACTAGAGAAAATGCTTGTATTTTTCTTTACACATGATGTGATCAGCATAACAACTTGATTGAAAAATAGAAATTTACAATTTCAGAATTTCTTAGTATTTGGTAGAGCGTGTCCCTCTTTTTGTTTTAATGACAGCGTGCACTCAAGCTGGACTCCACAAGTTTTAAAGCAAAGGCCTCTGATGAGAAGATCAAATCCACCCAAGAGTCATCTGAACACGAAATTCACTGGAAGAGATAAGACTCAAAAAAACAATGTGAGCTTTTTGTACAAACGCCTTAACATGGTCAACACTACAAATTTGAATCGTGACCTAGAAACAGTGCAGAATCTTGAATATTTGTTCACTTTATAATTCACAACTCTTTTTGTTTTAAAATGTTCAAACTTTTAAAACTTCAACTTTCCAAGCTGAAATGGAATAAATTCCAGATTTCTGTGTGGTCTCAGACTTTTGAACACCACTGTAATTTTTAAATACAGAATCAATTAGTATGTACTTTAATGGTGTTTTGTCATTGGAAAGGATGGGTATGATCAAATTGACAATTCTGCACTGCATCTACTGTTGAATGTTTCTACAGTTTTATGTCACATCACTGCTTTTATTTTCTTCACTGTTATTTGCTGCTTTTTGGTATACTTCTCATTATGCAAGCATATATGAATACTGGCCAGTATGAACTTTTGTAACCTAGAAATAAAAGTGAACCATTTGAAATGAAATGAATCATGTAAGATTTTTGCACCTGCTCTGCACAAATCTCTTTGATATCAGATAAAGCTCATTAGTATGTTAGCGTAACCTCATAAATATGTAGGATTGGGGTTTGCAGGCTGTACACCCTTGAAAAATATGCTTCTTCAAGGGTTCTTTAGTAAAGAAAATGATTCTATACAGAACCATGAACACTCAAAGAACCTTTTGCATGATTAAAGGGTTCTTTGCATCATGAAAATGTTCTTTAGATTGATGGAAAGTGTGTTGTAACAAGCTTGATACCATAACAATAGAAGAACCCTTTGGTGCTATATAGAACCATTTTCAAAAAGGTTCTATATAGAACCATGTACAATTGAACTATTTCATCATGCAAATGGTTCTTTGAGTGTTCATGGTGCTATTTAGAACCTTTTTCTTTACTAAAGAACCCTTGAAGAACCATTTTCTTTAAGAGTGTAGATCCTTCAGAAGACGTTTTCCATTCGATTCTGTTACTACCCCAGCGACATGGAGTCTGGGAACGGAGGACGAAAGGAAAGTTAAAATATATAAATAAATAAATGAGACCACCCCTCCCCCCCCTCGACTTAACTGGTCAGCCCACACATTTCCCCATGTATGTCCCCTTTGAGCCACCCGCCACTGAGCACTCTTCATGTGCCTCTTCTCCTCTTCGATGGCCTATATTTCAACCCTCGTTCGCTCAAGAGAAAGCAGAGGTTTCAGCAGGAAAATTCTTCCCTCTTTCCTGTTCAGGTGGAAGGCCTCTATCACCAGCCTCAGATTAGAAAGGATGCAGCCCCGCATGTTTCTAAAAGCCTTGGCAGAATCTAGATCGGGGGATGCATAATAGATCAGTCAACTGGCACTCAGCAACATTAAGTAGGTCAACTATTATTATTTCTTTTTTTTTCCTTCAACCATGAAGATTTTGCCCAGCAACAAGCCATTTTACACCATGGTACCAAGGGAAGAACGTCATAACGGCAAATAAACATGAAATGAAACTGCTTGTATGATGATGAAGAGATGAACTTGCACTGGCAATAGTGGCTTTTATCCATGTAAAAATCATTAATGCTGTATTTTTACTGATATTTCATATTTAGCTGACTGCACTGTTGACTTAAATTCTATTTATTGGTATTTAAGCTGATTATTTTTCTTTATGATTTACTATTGAAGTATCTTGATCTCTAGGGATCAGCTTTTCAAGTCTCATCATTGAGTAGTTGCATGGCTAAGGGTCTAAACGTGCATTGTCAGAAAGGGCAAATATCATGATTTTTTATTGCTCTAATGCATTTTCTATTAGATCATGGAAAAAGATGTAATATCATAACATGGAAAAAGTGTGTCCTGTTGTCGACTGGGTGCATTATTATATAGTTACATAGTTACATAAGACATTATCAGAGTTCGCATTGTCATACAGTACTTCTTCTGTTTGCCCCTTTGTTTTAGATGTTAGTATTTGCAAGTGGAAAAAGACATTATGTAATAACAGTACAACAGCACTGTCACATGATCATATGGCAATATTTCCTTTGACATCAAATCAGCATGTGTAGAAGCCTTTCATATACCACAATCTAACAATCATCACCAAAAGGTAACTTTAGTGTGGTCAAAACATTTCAGGACAGCAACTGCATTGATGTAGCCATGTGTTTGGGATAGCTACCCTAAAAAACTGTCTGAATGTTCCCCACATATTTGAAGACTCAACTCAAACTTGTCTGGGCATGTTAGCCCATGTCAGACCACTGAACTTTTATGTGGTAATGAAGACACTGAAAGATAACTACTCACTAAAATAACAATGAAAAACACCTTCAGCTGCCAAATGTCAACTAAAACATGATAAGCCATGGATTACGAGAGGATTTACATTCACCACAGACCTAAAAACATGTGTATTGTGATGCAAGTGTGGCTGAGAACACATCACTTATTCAGTTACAATGAATTAGCCTATGCAAATTTCACCTGAAATTAATGAGTGATGTTCTTCTTGAGACCAATGCATTGTAAAGCCATATGTCACAGCAGTTGATGGCAGTAATTGATGGTCTTACAGCAGACAGTGCCTACTAAGCCTTGATAAAACTATGAATCAAACTATTCTTTAGTCAAAGATTGCTGCAAATGAATCTAAATTGCAAACCTGCAGCAATTGTGCCACTTCACAACGGTGTACGTCACCTATGGCTGGCTTCCTCGGCTTAAGTCTCGGACTAAATTGCAGTGCTAATGGTGAATATCCATTAGACATTCTCTTTAGTCTAGGATTAGGCTTAAACTAGGCCTGGGAAACTGGCCCTTGGTCCAAAGTTTTAAGCTGTTAAAACTATGCGTATGTAGTCCTGAATAAATGTATCGTTTTATTCCACAGTCACATTTTATAAACAATGCTGAATAACTACAATGCAGTAATTTGCATTACTTCCTAATCCAACATGAATACAATGACAGTGGAACCAATTTCATATGTGGTCTAGGTTTACATAGATACTAAGACTTTTAAAAAGGGTAGATTATGAGCTGTTTCTAGATTTTTCATCTTTTTGATGCTCATTTTGGTGTCAGGAATTTATTATGAAAAGATATTCTATGATCATAAAGCTGTGATTATTTTTGTTTTCTATGCCAAAAACCACATTCATCACAACTCCTACATTAGTGTCTAATTCAGGTGCACAATGAATGACAGACTACAGGAAGATTTGCAAACAGTTAAGACTGAAACAAAGGTGGCATTATTACTAAATAAGTACTATTTAGTTCACATCACCGGTAATAAGTCTGTGTAAAGATGGCATAGATCTTTTTTCCTGTTCATAACGTGAACCAGAAATAAGCCATAGGAATCCATGAATGTGTTGTACACATAGAAAAGAGACTGCTGGAGATGAACAATGCCTGCTTTGGTGATGGAGGCAGTAGGACCATGAGGCAGCTGTATGCCGAGCAGACCCCACCCGTCCTGCCCTTTTCAATTCGCTTACCAGTATTTTTAATCACTTAAAAGCAGTAAAAAAAGAAGCCTTAAGGCTCAAACAATACGTTTTAAAGGTTTATGTGCACTTATACATGAACACAAGACACAAACGTGTATTGCAATTGAACATTTAATACTTTTATTTTATTTAACAGAAATGTTCCTTTGCTGGGTTACTGTAAACATGATAGCCAACGACTTGGAGCTGAACCACGTCAGTCATTTTAAAACTGAAGTTAATGGTACCACAGGCATTCAGAAATATAAAAGTCTTTTAGATGTACAGAGCTTAACTTCATCAACCTTCTCTGAAACAGAGGGTCTTAGTGTTTCCTGTTCTCTAACGCAAAGCTGAAGGGCTCGTGGCTCGTTAAAGGGGGACAATTCTCCCACTTTCTTTTAAAAAAGGCAGTCCACAAATGCTTTCAGTGCAATCGTGACAAACTTCGTTCGTGGTGCTCAAGCAGAGGAGCTAAAGTTTACCGAACGCTAGGGTGGGGAATCAGACTGCATGGACACCCAGTGCAAAAAAAAAAAACAATAACAGTAAAAAAAAATAGAGGCAGACAATGCTGGGCTAGCATGCAGATCTTCCACCATGGGCCCAAACTCGAACGCACTAAAACGTTTAGTCGTGTGTGTGCGTACAATGAAGCGAGGTGACTTTTTTTGCAACACAATACACAGTCCCGGAGCACACTGACCACTCGCACCCATCCCCCCCTCTCCCCCCTCTTAGTGCTGCATCCAGTCTCTCATCGAGCAACAAAAGCACAGCTGCCCTCCCTGCAGTCTCTCCACAGCTGGCAGCGACTAGCATTTTGCACAACAAGTCTACTCTTCGGGAGAGTATCACACATCCCGATGACCTTCTCCAGTGAGGGCTTGTCCCATTGCAGTGGCAAGGCGTCTTTTATTATTTAAAAAGCCCTATGCGTGTAATAAAGAAGGCTGTTTACAGTGTTAAGCCTATTGTTCTGTACTTTGTAGTAGCAGCTGCACCCAAACCCACCCATGCACCGAATCATACAGAGCATGCTGCTGCTGGTGGTGATGGTGGAGAGAGTCTGTGCACGTCTCGGCTGCCACAGCGCCAAAAATAAAGCACAAAAGGAGAGAGAGCGAGAGAGAAAGAGAGAGAGAGACAGAGAGAGACACTGGGGGTGGGGAGGGTGCCCTTCTCTCTCCGTGTCCATGCTTCTTGGCGCAGGGCAGCGACGGGAGACCCCTTCAAAACCCTTCCATGTGTGAGGGAGGGAGCACCGAGTCTCGACCGAAGAGGGTCTCTCTCACAGGAGTTTACAGCAGTTCGCGCAGCCTCCGGGCGGCCTCGACCTCTTCTGGAGCGCGGCGCGCGTTGCCGTCTCGAAGACCTCGCGCACGCCGTCCTTGGTCTTAGCCGAGCACTCGAGGTAGTCGTAGGCGCCGATGCGCACGGCCATGGCGCGGCCGTCCTCGGCGCGCACGGGCTCCTGCTTCATCCGCGCGAGCTCGCCGCGCACGCTCTCGTCGTTGCGCAGGTCCTTCTTGTTGGCCACGAGGATGATGGGCACGTTGGGGCAGAAGTGCTTCACCTCCGGCACCCACTTCTCCGGGATGTTCTCCAGCGAGTCCGGGCTGTCCACGGAGAAGCACATGAGGATCACGTCCGTGTCCGGGTAGGAGAGAGGCCGCAGGCGGTCGTAGTCCTCCTGGCCGGCCGTGTCCCACAGCGCCAGCTCCACCTGCTTGCCGTCCACCTCGATGTCGGCCACGTAGTTCTCGAAGACCGTGGGCACGTAGACCTCCGGGAACTCGTCCTTGCTGAACACGATGAGCAGGCACGTCTTACCGCACGCGCCGTCGCCCACGACCACCAGCTTCTTTCGGATAGCGGCCATGTGCTCGGTTTTACAGAACAACTAACGTTAAAAGTAAAGAGTCAATATAGGCCTGTTCAACAGATTAAAATAACAGCTCGAAGTTGTATCTCCTGTGTCAAGCGTTCACCAGCTGTCCTCTCTGTTGACACGGCCTCAGCTGTCGACCATTCCTTTTCCAAGGCTTTTAAGCCCAAACTTCTTTATAAAGTGCCTCGCCGCTTTCTTAATATAGCCCTCCAATGGGAAGCCGCGGGATGACCTCATGGTTTTTTTCCCAGTCGCTGATTGGCTCCATCAAGATTAGAGGTGGGGTTTTACTCGCTCACCACGAGGATTTTGGAGGCGTGGAGTTTTTTTTTTTACCCACCTCTATTCTGTAAAGCCACGCCTTCTGCGCTGGGATTGGCTAGCGGTTAAATCTTATTTACGCAATTTTTATACATGAGCATAAATCTTATACTCTTATTCATATACATTTACTATTATCAAATATACTGGTAAACATATACATATTATATACATATCCCACACAACCACCCTCCTGCTTCCGGATTGGCTAATAGTTCACACAGTGCCAGCTGTGCTTGTAGGAATTCTGGGAGTTGTAGTGTACAGCTATGCTGTAGTCGTGGTTTATCATGCCCACTCACAAACAGTAAAAAAATTACAAGAATTAGCCGGACTTACAGATACAAAGCTCAGTTAGATAAATGCCTTTTTCTAATAATAAGAAACAAAATAAGAATAAAGTCACCAGTGTTCCTGCCCCAAGCGGTGCTGTTCTGCTGGTGATGCTGTGCTGCTCCCAGACTGGGAATATTTAGACACTACAATGACAAATTTCCTTTGTAGGATCAATACTGTATAACATAAATAGAGAAGTTTCATCCCATGTGTATTTCAGTTATTCCTTCTGTTTGAAATGACGGCATTTACCTCGGATCTTTCTTCCGTTTGCCTTTGCTGTTCGCCTTCTATTTTTGTCAGACTTACAAGTCATAAGGGGATTGACCAGCCCCCCTCCAAATGTCTTAAAGCACCCGAAAGAGGTCAGTTTTTGGTACTGCAAAAATATCGGCAGCATGACCACACCTATTTTCTAATCTGACCATTACTCTAATGTGACCCTGCTTTCACAACCAAGTTTCTGATTGGTTCAAAACACATCTCCATTCTCTTGCACTGAAATTTCAAATGTCCTTTTAGTACAACTTATCTGCTTGAATATTTCACTGAGATTATAAGGAAGGGAGCAAGTGAACATGCTGTATTAACCCAGCCCTAAAGGGGAACTCCACCGAGTTTTCAAAATGTCTGCATAATTGAATGGTTAAGATGTAAACAAAGTAATTCAGAATGGTTTGGTGTGAAATGCTCCATTCTACAGAAACTTACCAAGTCAAAATTGTTCACAGTGGTGGTGACAGGAACCAGATGTCTGAAGAGTTTAAAGCCTCTAAAAACTCCCTCACAGAAAGTTATTACTTATAATAGTTATAAACACTCCGCCTGATGCCTGATACACTGTTTTATGGTGGCTTTTGCGATAAAATTTTGGCCTAAAATCTATTTAAATCATTTTATTTTAATCTATCCATGGTGGAGGGATACATGATAAGCCAGTTCACTCCAAACCACTCTGAATGAAGTATTTTATATCTCAACCACTGAATTATGCAGACATTTTGCTGGAATTCCCCTTTAAGACTAACCTTTGGACTAACTATGGCATCATATTTCATTCTCAAGACCATTGTGGCCAGAAAAAATGCCAGAATTGATATGTTGCAATCATTTACTACTACATTTTAAAGAGATGTCTGTGTAAACATTAGCTGAGATTTGAAAATAGGACAACAACATCAACAACACTGTAAGACTGCACTCACAGAGATTTGACATCTACCACATTCTCTGTTAGCAGCCATAAACTCTTAGATGAAGTTCATACTGGTTTTGTGAAGATTCCAAAAAGAAATGCCTCTGTTTTGATTAAAACACTAATGTTTATTTCACCATGCCTGGTTTCGACATTCTTTATATCAAACTTTTTGTCTCAAAGTGCAGTGTTTGTGGTGGGCTGAGAGCAAAAAGTCAGAAAAATTTACAATTAAAGAAGTTAGGTTGGTTTGAAATTGTTTTAAAAATATACATTTAAATAATTACACCACACTTTGTTATTGAAATACTTGGACACTTTTAAAAGGAAAACAAGAACCTAACCAATTAAAATTAAATACTAATCTTTCTTATTCAGTAACTACAGGGACTTCAACGCAAATTGGTTCTTAGGTTATAGAAGTGTGTAATAAAACTTTGGGCATGCCAGCAGGCCCTGGCCATGAAAGGGGTTAATAAGACATATATAGTTTAAAAATATGTTTGCTCTCTCATTGGGTGAGGGAGTGAAGTTAGGGTAACTTTTCCTTAGCTTGTGAGTTTGAGGGTACAGAGTTCAGGCACTTTACCACTGTAATATTAGCAATATATAACATTACTTCTACTCAGCCATACTGCTTCTGGACTACAGGATGTTAATCAGCATTGGTCTATGCAAATGTAAGGAAATGCCCTGTGAAAGATTTTTCATATTTCAAAAGCAAACATGATTACTATTCTGAATACCAGAACTCTAAATATAAATCATCTTCATTAAAGCTTAATGATGGTGGTTTTGATGAGCACCGTTGTTATGTGATCAGGCTGAAATGTGATTATTTGAAATAAGATGGTTTAGAGAGTCAGAAAGTCATTTTAATGATAACTGTTTTACACAGAATTAGTCAAAATATCAACAACATTTGAAATGACATACGTAGTTTCTCTTTTTAGTCCCTTCGTTTTTTCTTATATTTATCTAAATGTAAGAAATCAGAAATGTATATTTTCGACAGTGCCTAAAGGTTTCTTCAATGGCTGTTAGGAAACACAGTATGAATTAGGAAAAAATAATATATTTAAAAAACTATTATATATTTGATGACAAATCATATTTTTGAGGACTACCACATGACCCATGAGCGTTTCTAGCTCAAGTACAGAAAGTCATGCATATTTAACTTCATTATTTAACTGAATTTAAATGAAAAATTATGACTCAGCACTAACTAATAAAGCAGTGTTAATAAAAAACAGACATACTTTGAAATTCTTAGTACTGAATGGAGGAAGCAGCTGAGAAGTAATGTCTTCAAATCCGGAAGGCCCTAGAACGTCACACGTTTTTATCAACTGGCGCCACCTCCAGGAAGAGCTGGAGGACCACTGTGAGTTTGTTCAGGAGGCCTGGGAACAGTTTGTAGTGAATGAATGGAACATAAATTATAACTCCACTGAGGACGAAGATGGTCACGTACAGGTACTCGATCCGAGGGTTATCAATGATGGGTGCAAGAACGAGGAACACTGCTGCCAGCAGTACCAGGATGGGGATAATTATGGGGACCTAAGAGAGTCATAAAAAGAGACAGTTGTATATTCTGTCTCTCTTGGAATGTAATCATGTTATAGAGCAACCTTGAGCAAATATTAATATTAAAACATGACATCTCTTACCGTGTATGTCCGAGGAAGATCACGTTTCTTGATTTTTAGGTAAAGAAGTCCTGATAATGTGACTCCATAGAAGAACCAGGCTGTAAAGCTGACAGATGGAATGAATTTAGAGCAACAAATACTGGATGAATGCATAACTGATATGAAACTAAGTTATCAGCTCTAATTTCCTTTTTTAGAAATGACTACTTCACACAACACACAATAATATTATAATATATTGAGAGTGTGACTCTTCTTGTTAAATGTCTAAACTGATGAAATGCTAGGTCTTGTGCTTGGTGCTCAATAACACTAAATTTGTTCGTACTAAGTGGTAATATATTAATGATTCACAATCATTCAACATGACGTATAACAAGCATACATAAACTAGATGTCCAAAAGTTTGTAGACACCCTCTCATCCAATGTTTCTTTCAAAAAGGGTATTAATAGGACGTTTGTCCCCCCTTTGCTGCAGTATCACTCTTCAAGGAAGGCTTTACAAAGCTAGAGGTTGGAACATTGCTGTGAGGATTTGATAGCATTCAGCCACAAAAGCATTAGTGAAGTCAGGTATTGATGCTTGATCACTTGTTCTGGATCACAAACGCTACTCCAACTCATCCTAAAGGTACTGGATGGTGCTCCATCATTTCAGAGAACACAGTGCTGAGGGCTTATAAAGCCCTCTACCTGATGCTTGGCATGGTGAATTTCTGTTGTATTCATGAATACATCAGAACCAGGAAAGTTTCTGACTTCCAAGTGGGAAATACCTATTTGCATGGCTTTTTAACTCGTAATTCCCACTCTAAAAAGTCAGTTTCTCAAGAGCTCTGATATCTCAGAGTTGCACATCCCTGATGTCACTTCAACATGGCAGTGCTCATAGAGTAAGAAGTAACAGCATATTTTAAGTGGTTTTAAGCAGACTGTCGGGTTTCTATTTGTGTATAATATGCTATCTATGCATGATAGCTATAGCACCTAAAATAAAATGAAGAACTAACCAGACCAATTTTGAACTGTAGTGTAAAAGCTTTCTAAAAGCCTTTATGTTCTGAAACCAAACAAATGCTAGTTTACTGTAAGTGTCCACTGTTTTCAGAATTCAAACTGTTCACATGGCATGAACGCTTTAAAATTGGAAGCATCAAGCTCTGAGGTGAAAAATTCTTAGGTGTGCTAAACACAACATTAGGCATATTCATTCTACTGGCAATATTTTCTGTTGCTCTCTGTGCGCAATTGAACATCTGTGACATGAATTATAAATAAAGTAGCTGAATTCAACTGTTAGAAGGGGTGTCTGGACACCTTTGGACATTTTTGTGTATTTATGTTGCTGTAGTTAAGAGAATGGAGCCAAATGTTTTGTCTCTTGCTATAGAATCATTGTTCATTTATAATGACCCTTACCACGGATTTTGGCATGTGTTCACTCATACGTTCAATCACCTCATTTATGCGCATGGCAATAATGTTTTATTAGGCTGATATAGTCCATAAATTGATTTTTGTGATGTCGAGCGAATTCATTGGTTGGAAGGATCATGTGATTCTAAACAGAGCCCTTTCTGCATTGTTTGTGTGAACATGAGCCATTTTTGTCCACTAAAGGACTGGCAACATAAAACAGTACAGTTTTAAGCATTTGTTTTTGCAGTATAAACTCACTATAATGCCAGGTAAACCTAACTGTATAATAAATATTTTGACTTTATCCTTTGGAGCACATGCACTGTGCATACCTGAAGAAGTTCACTATTCCCTCAAAGTCTCCAGGGATGAGCACAATGAGGGAGATGATGGTGGTGAAGATGAGAGCTGGAGATGGAGTGAGGCGTCGCACATGAGCCATGGCCAAGATATCAGGCTGAAAGAGAAAAAAAAATTGAGGAAGACTTTTCATCTTCCATATTGTCAGAGCTGATGTGTTTTTGGTACACAAACTGCAAATCAGTGTCATCCAAATGAATGAAATGCCTTGGTTATCAAGATTCCTGCAAGGTAGAGTGATGTTATTTGCTTGACCCAGCTACTTATGACCATCCATAGTGAACTACTCTTTTTTTTCCTTACCATATGTCCCTCTCTGGCAGCTACAAAGCAAACTCGTCCTCCACTGAAGAAGGAGCCATTGAGAGAACCAAAAGATGACAGAGCTGCTGCAACAGACATCACCCAGCCCCAGCCTCCCAGCACCTTATTCCTGTTATCAAAGAAAAAGGTTGGCCACTTGATCTCTTACAGATCGACAAACAATAAACACATCAAAGTGTAATAACATATTATGGAATGTTTCTTGTACCACATATATTGATTTAGGGCCTGACTGAGTAAACTTTTTTTGTGCATGAAAACTTACCCCCACGTAACAGCCACAGCACTGGAAAACACCATCTCTCTTGGAGTCATGACAGCCAGATAACTCACATTGACCAGCAGGTAGAGGACTGTTACCATGGGGATGGCAATCATTAATGCCCTAGGTAGATTTACCTTTCAGGAAAGGATGTAATAAAACATCAGTGGAAATGTACAACTCTTCTAATAATCAGTCACTCAAATTCTTACAGGTTTTCCACTTCCCTCATGATAAGCTGAAGAAGCATGGGCATTACAGTGCAACTAAGTATACCACATTAAAAGATCATCTTAAAACAGAAAACATCTCACCTCTGGCTTTTTGACCTCCTCAGTCACAAAGTTTAAGCTGTACCACCCTGCATAGGACCACAAGCCCTGATACAGAGCCATTCCAATGGGACTGATCCCCAACTTTGTGCCCTCAAAAGCAATGTCTGAACTGCTAAGGCTTTCTAAGCTACCTTGAGCCATGGTCACTATACCCCCAATCACTATCACTGTGAGAGCCACCACTTTGGCCACCATGAAAACAACCTGAATGGCCATGGTAAAGCGAACGTTCAGGATGTTGGCTGTAGCCACCACCAAAATGCAAGCCGCAGCGGTACACTTCACCACCAATGTAGGTGGTGCGCAGCCTGGATAAAAAGGAGCCACAGCATACTTGGCAAAACCCAGGGCAATAGCTGATACACCTGACGGACCCACCACGGTCAGGAACGTGAATGCTATAAAGAATGCAGGGAAGGGTCCATAGATTCTCAGGACGTAGATGAAGTCGCCCCCAGATTCTCTGATGAGAGTGCCCAGCTCAGCATAAGACAGTGCAGCGCCCAACACCACCAGGCCACACATGGCCCAGATTATCAAACAAGCTCCAGCGCTTCCTATGTTAGAAAACACAGTCTGTGGGGACATAAAAATCCCTGATCCTATCATATTGCCCGCCACCAGAGATACCGCACTGATTAACCCTACCTCCCTCTTCAAATTGAGCTTTTCATGGTCTTGGCTTTTCATGGTGCCGAGATAGAAGCAAAAAACGTACCGCAGCACTTCACTAATCCTCCACCAAAAGAAATAAAACAGAGCGAGGCTGACAACACACTGAGTGCAAAGTGTTTCTGTTTAACTTTTACAGCACCTTAGTGTTTATTACCACAGTTTGTCTTTATTACTTATCAGATTTTCAAAGATACTCTTATCTGTGCTCAAATGATAGCATTGCATGTACAAAACTGTACAAAGGGAAAAGGGACCAACTGTTGCTTTAATATACAGTGATATGCATTTTGTCACAGAAAAAAACAGCAGTGTGTCAACACAATAATTTAGTGTTCTGAGCACAACATCCTGCTCAGTCATGCAGTGATAGAGATCCTCACTGTGGGGGACATTATTTGATATGCCATATTAAAGTTAAACTGCTTTTAAAATAATACATCATTCACAAGAATACAAAAAGAATGACAAAGCTAACTTTCACTAATTAATGTCAAAACTATTACCTTCAAATGAAGTGTTCCTTTAAGAAGCAACATATAAAGACAGAGGAATCAGTCAGGACAGACTGTACAGCATAGCCTAACTTTAGTGATTAACGTAAACTGGAACATTTTATCTGTTTTAGAATCTGAAATGCCAAATATGCTGTAATAGCCATAGAAAAAGTTGTGAACTTTGATTTGCTGTGCACTAAGACCTTCTTTGTTCTCTACTGACATAGCCACAAAAACACGTGTAGATCAAGCTCTGGAAAAAGAAAGTCACCACTAAAGTTTCATTTAAATGACACTGGCAACCAAAAACACTCTGAAAGCAAAGCCCATGTGGAATGCAGAGTACGTCAGGAAAGTGAGGTCTCTCACTACGGCAATAGTCTAGACTGCATCAGCATACTTTCATATAATGACATACTTTCATATAATTAAGAGAATGCACTTATAGAGCATAAAACAGAACAATATTTGTCTAAGCAAAGTTTTTACTGTGGAGTTATTACAAGGTTGGCCTGCAAAAGTAAAGGTTAGCAGCTTGTACCCATGTGTATGCAACATATGTTGGATATCACTACAGCTAGACATTTAAGCAATAGAACACAAGAGGGAGTGTGTTGTAACACAACCTCGAGTGTTCTATTGGTTTTATACAACAGTTAAATAAATAAAGTACGAAATGAATAAATTGGGCCGTGAACGTGGCATTTAATGTTTTAATGTTCGCAGTTCCTTCTGCCAAATTATAGTTCCTTAACAAGCAGCTTGTTGCTACGTCAGAGTAACGAGCTCCGCTCACTCGCTGCACAGCCGGCAGTTCGTTCTCCAACTCCACACAGACCAACTGACAGTTTGGGAATTTAGTGTCGTCTCATCTTCAGAGTCTGACCAAATCGGCTGTCGGTCAAATGTGATCTGAAAGTATCCATTTTCTGTTTGTAGCAAAGTAAGAAGTAAAAACACTCAAATGGCTTGAGCCTCTCCTACAGCTGTCAAAGTCGTTGCTTAGCAACGGCGTCTCAGCGGAGTGATACAGTGTGAAAAACTGATGTTATGGCGAAATAACAGCATGGTTAGAACGCTCGCTTCTCAACCCTCAAATCAGCTAGCGTGACGAACTAACTGTTGTATGTACATATATCTATAAATAATGTGTGAATATGTATATATATATATATATATATATATATATATATATATATATATATATATGTATGTGTGTGTGTGTGTGATATATATATATATATATATATATATATATGAATATATATACACAAATATTTATGATAATATCATAAATCATGATAAAAGGTTAGAAAGTGATCACAGTATTCAATTTATATCGACAGTACAGCATGTCAACTGTCAACAACCAGTGCAATTTTTTAGTCTGTTCCAACTCCTGATATATCTGAGGCAGGTAAGGAGCAATAAGAAAAACCTTTGAGCCCAGGAGTGCTTGAAAGTAGAGTAGAAAAAACATGTAGACCGACAGACTGGTTGAGAGGCAGAAAGAACCGGACCGAGAACCTCTGGAAGATAATGTGCTGATGTGAATAAAAAGTTCTGTTGCACCATTCAGTGGTACGTACAGTGTAGAGTATGTTGGAGTTAATTCAAACTTTATTACTTTTATAAATATGCAAACTGACTTCATAGTGGTTTTCAAACCAGTCCATGTTTTTTTTTCTCTTACTCAGCTTCTAACACACCTGTATCCTTTATTCAGTGTTCGCAATGGCTCGGTTTAGGTGTGTTCGGAGCTGAGATACAGCTAAAATGTGGATTGTCTAGGGGTTCTCAAGGACTGGTTGGACAGAGACTGCTGTATACTATAATATACATGAAACAGAAAGTTAGACACCTGTGAATAGCCAGCACTTCTGTTTAAATGGACATGGGAACCAAAAGTTAAACACTGAATCTCTATCTTATAATGATTGCTTCCAATTTTTTTTGTTAGAATAATTAAATTATACACTATCTGTGTTTTTATTCTTGAGTATTACTAATATTATAAATTAATACTTATTACCTCAGGGCGTTTAAGCTCTTCAGTCACAGAGTTCAGGTTGTTCCAGCCATCGTAGGACCACAGACACTGATAGAAGGCCATTCCTATGGCACTGATGCTGAGGTTGGTGCCTTCAAAAGTATTCTGGAGGTTGGCAGTGTTACCTTGAACAAGAACCACCACACCGCCAATCACAATAACCACTAATGCAATGAATTTAATCACCATGAAGAACACTGCGACAGCCATGGCAGAACGCACATCGAGGCAGTTCACTATGGTCAACAACAGGATCCCAACAGCAGCGACAGACTTCACCACCACAACTGGGGGTGAACAGTCCTCATAGAAGGGTGCAACAACGTACTGTGCAAAGCTGAGAGCCAGTCCAGCCAAGCTGGTTGGCCTCACAACCACAATAGATGTAAAGGCAAAGACAAAAGCCATCAGGTTGCCTGAAGTCCTCAGTATGTAGATGTACTCTCCTCCTGACTCGCGGATGACTGTACCAAGCTCAGCATAGCTCAGGGACGCCAGCATTGACAACAGGCCGCAGCAGGCCCATATCAACAAGCTGGCACCTGGACTTCCAATGTTCAGCAACACAGTCTGAGGGGACATGAAAATTCCTGATCCGATCATGACACCCGCAATGAGGGACACTCCTCCCACCAATCCCACCTCTGCTTTCAGGTGAAGTTTCTCAGGTGTGCTGTCCATGTCTGCTGCCATACTAGCGGATGCTTTGTTCCAATGGATGTCCTTTTTACAGGCAGGATTTAAATGCAGAATGGGATGCTACACTGCGCCTTGCTCCTCCTGCAATTGTGTCAGGTGGTAATTATAGGACTGTAGGCCACACTTAAACTCAATGTTCCACTTTAATATTCTGCTCAGCATAAGAGAAGCTGAATTTCTCTCTCTGGCCATTCATGTAGCTTCCTCTGCTCTAATAGTGTTCCTCTGAGACATGAAGTTAAAAAGGAACAGAACAGAGGCTGTAAAAGGACAGAGGTTCACACATACACACACACACGTTTATGACAAGCTCTCGTTATTTAATAACTACTCTAAATGCACCCTCAGCAATTCACAGCACAACAATTATTTAGTTTTTCCAAAGCTGAAATCTAATCTAATTTATTTAATTAAAAACCACTCACAAAATATCTATAGAATATAGATATTTTATAAATATCTATAAAACTTAAAAAACTAAAAACTGAGGATACCTTTAAAGCCCTCTTCTTCAGTGTTTTCTAAGAAGTAAAACAGCTAGATTTTAACAGCAGTAGGTATGTTTAGATCCAAAGAAGAAGGGACGTCCAGAGTGAAGAAACTTGAAGACACAATGTTATTCCTCCAAAGAAGCTGAAGAAGAAATAATTGGTATTCCTCTTGGTCTCTTCAACACATTCAGTCCTAGCCCGCAAACCCTTTGCAGCTTCTTATTCAGGGTTAATCTTGTGCATTCAGCCTTGCTCTAATCAGCGGGTGGCTATAAAGTGGGTGGTACAAAAACCCTCAGGATTGCAGCGGTTCTGCTGCTTGTACTCACTTTTTGCTTCACTACTTAAACTCTACTGAGAGTGTTGTTATTTACCACAATGTGATTATTCTCTGGTTTAGAAAAACCTCAAAATTTACCTCAGGGCTGAAACTTCAACACTGACAGATACAGCAGATAATTGTAAATAAGACTAAATAAGACTTTAAACATATGTCTGGATAAGCAATGAAACAGCCTTTCTTTGTGGATTTTAGAGTGAGAACCATCTTGAAACTGCAATTTCTGTAGGTCAACATGAAGACAGTTAACTCAGTGACAGTATATCGGGTCCAGCACGTGTCAGTTAAAACCTGGTTTACAAATCTGGCTGCCTGAAAGCACCATGGGCCTCGGCATGTGTGATCTGAATTGTAAGCACTATAATCAAAGTAGCCAAATTTGAAAAAAGTTGACTGACCCCCATGCAACACTATGGGCCCATACAAAAAAGTCTTTTTTATCAAATTTAATGTCTTTGTAAGGCCAAGAGAACAATTAAATTTAGGTTGGCAGACATGACAGTTAGCTACACATCAAAATAACTATCAAATACAGTCTTCATGTGTACCAAACAAGACTTCAATAGATGTTCAACATGGAGGATTTTGGGGATCCTTCACTAACAATAAAAAGCCAAAACCACATGGAATTATGGGCTGTCCTATCATGTCCTCTTCAGAATTCTGAACATCTCTGTCTCATTGCAGTGTCCCAAAAAAACTGACATCATTTCGTAGTCTAATAACATAACCAATTCTCCCTCAAATGATCTCAAATTTTAACAAAATGTGTAAAAACTAACCAAGTTTAATTTTTAATGTTTTTTTCCGGTTGAAGAATGGTGTTCACTAGAAATAAAAAGGCATTTTGTGTGTTAGAATATGCTCGAACACAGTCAAACAAGAGTGTGCAGCATGCATTTTCGAGAAAATTCAATAAAAATGCACCAACTGGAAAGCAGATTTGGACATGGCACAAAAAATTCAAAGAGGAAGGCTGTCTGTGCAGGAGCTGGACTACAGACTTGACCTGTGTCGTGTCACAGGCGGTGCGCATATTGAACATTTGTGAAGCTTTGTGAAATCGGTTATAAAATCTACATCCCTCTGAATTTCTTCAAATTCAAATTCAAATTTTGATAAATAAATCTTGTATTGTTCAACACGAATTTTGTTTGCCTAGGACGAGTAGTTACTCAGACATTCACATCTCAAATGATGTCATTTTTTTTGGGACACCCTGTATAATTTCTCCTGATTTGTGTGCTACTGGTTTGCGATGCCTTGTTTCCTGCCATCTAAGTCTGCACTCTTGATCCTTTTTTTTAAAAATTAAAACTAGCACGTGTGTCCACTCTCACATCAACATGTTTTCATCATTAACACTTTAGAAGGTAGATCAACCGCATGGTTAACCATTTTGTCACGTTGTAATCTGAAGCGCAAACAACCTCTGCCTTCAACTTTAATCATTATTTCA